TTACTCATAAAGAGTAACATCTTACCTAAAAGGGGATAACATTTTACCATAAAGAGGATAACTTTTTACTCAAAAGGGATAACTCTTCCTTTCAAGGATAACATCTTACCATCAAAGGAAAAACTTTAAACTCTCAAGAAGAAAACACTTATCATCAAGGGGATACATTTACTCTCAATGGAAACTCTTATCATCAAGAGGATAACACTTACTCATCAAGAGGTAACTTTACTCATCAAGGGATAAACTTACTCGCAAGAGGAAAACATCTTACTCATCAAGAAAATAACACTTACTCATCAAGAGGAAAACATCTTACTCATAAAGAAATAGCATTTTAAACCATCAAGAAGAAACACTTATCATCAAGGATAAATCTACTCATCAAGAGGATAGCACTTACTCATCAAGAAAAAAACATTTACCACAAGAGATAAAAACTTACATCAGAAACATCTTACTCATCAAGAGGATAACTTTTTCCATAAAGAGGATACATCTTACTCTCAAAAAATAACATCAAACCCATCAAGAGGATAAAAATTTACTCATCAAAAGAAAAACACTTATCACAAGAAAAAAAACATCTTATCATCAAAAGATAACATCTTCTCATCAAGAGATAGAAACTTACTCATCAAGAAGATAACATTTTACTCATCAAAGGATAAATCTTACTATAAAGAGGATAAATTTACTCATCAAAGGATAACACTTACTCATAAAGAAAAACCATTTACTCACAAGAGGATAACTCAACCATCAATGGGAAAAAAACTTACTCATAAGAGGAAAACCTAACCATCAAAGGAAAACACTCCTAAAGGGGAAACATCTTACTCATCAAGAAAAAACATCTTTCATCAAAGGATAATTTTACTCATCGGGAGGATAACATCTTATCAAAGGGGATAGCATTTTACTCATAAAGAAGATAACCTTACTCATCAAGATAACATCTTATCACAAGAGGAAGATCTTACTCACAAGAAGAAAACATTTATCATAAAGAGGATAGAAAATTTACTCTCAAAAAACCTACTCATCAAGAGGAAAACATCTTATATCAAAGGATAGCACTTACCTCAAAAGAAAAAAAACCCCTTTTACTCCCAAGAGGATAAACTTACTCATCAAAAGATAACTTTACCACAAGGGAAAATGTCTTACCTAAAGAAAAACATCTTACCATCAAGAAAATAACACTTACTCATCAAGAGGATAACACTTACCATCAAGAGGATAACATCTTACTCTCAAAAAGAAACATCTTCCATCAAGAGGATAACACTTACTCATCAAAAAACACTTTACTCATCAAGGGGAAACATTTTACCATAAAGGGGATAACTCTTACTCTCAAAAATAACATCTTACTAAAAGGGGATAAAATCTAATCATCAAGGGATAACATTTTAACTCATCAAGAAGATAACATTTACCCAAGGGGATAACATTTTACTATAAAGAGGATAAAAATTTACTCATAAAGGGGAAACACTTACTATCAAGAGGATAACATCTTACTCATAAAGGGAAACATCTTACTCTCAAGAAGACCCCCCTTTTATACAAGAGGTTTACATTTTTTTATCAAGAGGATAGCTTTTACTCATAAAGGATTGATCTTACCATCAAAAAAGATACCATCTTACTACAAGAAGAAGCATTTACTCCAAGAAGATGCATCTTCTCATAAAAGGGGAATACATCTTACTCATCAAAAAAGAAGTTTTTTTACTCACAAGGATGCATTTTTCTCAAGAGGATTGCATCTTACCATCAAGAAGTAGCATCTTACTCATCAAAAAGTTTGATCTTGCTCATAAAGAGGATCGTCTTACTCATCAAAAAATAGCATCTTATCACAAGAAATAGCATCTTCCACAAGAAGATAGCATTGCTCTCAAAATACCTTACTCATCAAAGAAAAGCACTTACCATCAAAAGATAGCTCTGCCATAAAGAGGATTCTTTCTTACCATCAAGAGGATAACATCTTACATAAAAGGGAAAACACTTACTCATCAAGAGGATAACTCTTATCATCAAGAGGATAACTTATCCAAAGAGGATAACATTTTACCATCAAGAGGAAAACATCTTACTCAAAGGGATAACATCTAACTCATCAAGAAAAAACATCTTACTCTCAAAGGAAAAAAATTTTACTCTCAAGGGGAAAACCCCTTTATCATCAAGGGATAACATCTTATCATAAAAGGGGAAAACATCTTACCATCAAGAGGATAACATCACTCTCAAGGGATAACAACTTACCATAAAGAAAACATCTTACCCAAAAAGGGGATAACATCTTACTCAAAGAAAAAACATTTTACTCATCAAGAAAATAACCTTACCATCAAGGGATAAATCTTACCCCTCAAGGGATAGATTTACTCCAAGAAGATAACTCTTACTCATAAAGGGGATAACATCTTCTTCAAGATAACATTTACTCTAAAGGGGATAACACTTATCATCAAGGGGAAGCATCTTATCATCAAAAGATAACATCTTACTCATCAAGGGGATAACATCTTATCATAAAGAAGAAACATTTCTCATCAAGAGGAAACATCTTACCCTAAAGAAGATAAAATTTTCTCATCAAGAGGATAGCATTTTATCACAAAAAGAAACATCTTACTCATCAAGAGGAAACATCTCTCACAAGAGGATAAACATTTTTCCCTCATCAAGAGGTAACCTTACCATCAAAAAGAACCATTTTACTCATAAAAGGAAAACACCACTATCAAGAGGAAACACTTACTCCAAAAAGGATAACTCTAACTCATAAAGAGGAAAACATTTTACTCATCAAGAGGATAACATCTTACCTCAAGAAATAACATTTTTTATCATCAAGAGGATAACATTTTACCATCAAGAGGATAAATTTTATCATAAAGAGGATGCACTTATCATCAAGAAGATAACACTTACTAACAAGATAACTCTTACTCTAAAGGATAGCATCTTACCACAAGAAGAAACACTTACCCCAAAAAGGGAAGATTTACTCACAGAAATCTTATCATCAAGGGGATAACACTTACTCATCAAAGGATAGATTTTACTCACAAGAAAATAACATTTATCCTCAAGGGGATAACATTTACCACAAGAAATAACATCTTACCATCAAGAGGAAAGAATCTTACTCATCAAAAAAGAAAAACATTTTACCATCAAAAAGAAAAACACTTACTATCAAAAAGGAAAACTTTTACTCATCAAAGAATAACACACCATCAAGAAATAACATCTTACTCATCAAGGGGATAAACTTCTCTAAAGATAACTTTACCCAAGAGGATAACATCTTACTCATCAAGAGGATAACATCTTACTCAAAAGAAATAACATCTTACTCTCAAGGGGATAACATCTACTCATCAAGGGATCATTTACCATAAAGAAGAAAACATCTTACCCCAAAGAGGAAACTTTTCCCACAAGGGGAAAAACATTTACTCATCAAAGATAACATCTTACTCATCAAGGGAAACATCTTACCATAAAAGGATAAACTTACTCACAAAAAAGATAACATCTTACTCAAAAGAGGATAACATCTTACCATAAGGTAAATTTTACTCCAAGAGGATAACACTTACTCATAAAAGGGGATAAATCTTACGGCGCGCATAACGAATAAAACATAAATTTATGGGAGGCTTTAAACGTGCTGTGACACCCGCTTTCTTTGGGGGGGAGGTCATCGTCTGCCAAGTTTTTGCTTTGTATGAGTAATTTTCGTTGCAAGTTCGGACTAGCCCCCTCTGGGATTTCCAGGGTAAAAAACATTTTTCTCTCCCCCCGCGCCAGGAATCGGGTTTTTAGGAACTTAAGAGACCATACAAAAGTGTCGGGGGCCCGAGCTTTTTTCAACTGCCTCCCGCTTTAAAAAAGGGGGGATTACCAACAACCCCCGGGCATTTCAACGGCCGGAAAAGCACCAAAAGTGGGTACCTGACCAACCCGAGCTGGGTTCTCTTTGGGATTGCTGCACCAGCAAAAACAACCGGGTTTTGATCAGGCTCTGATCCACCATGGGGCCTGGCAAAGCCCGGTCGGGGGGGCTTTTGACCCCCAAACTCTCCCGGAAACCCAGGTTACTCCAAGAGGATGGGAAAAATCAAGATAAAACACAAGTGGAAGGGCAAAGTGCGACAAATGTCAGTCATGGTAAAAAAAAAAAAAAAAAGAGAGGAAAAATTTAATTGAGGTGAGACACTGCCCTGTAGTTAAAATAGGAAAATTAAAAACACTGATAGAAAATTTAATTTTTCCCATTCACTTGCTAATGTACAATAAATAATTCTGACCCCAATAATTTACCATGACCATCCCAAATATTTTCATAAAAAAAATTCAAAAAAAAATTGTTAATATGTAAACACAAAACATTAATAAAATTAATAGCACAATGTGATAACCTCACCCCAAAATTAATAGCAAAATGTATTACCTCACCCCAAAAATTAATAGCATAAATGTGAAAACCTACACACCAAAATAATAGCATCAATTTTATATACCTACACCCCAAATTTTTAATAGCATCAAGGGAATTACCTCACACCAAAATTTAATACATAAATGTGATATACCTTATTATTAAAAGTTCGCCGGAATTCCCCGCCCGGGCCTTTCCAATGGTGGCCCACCTGGCCCCCTCTTTAGGGAGTGTCTGAGACTAAGTCCCCCAGGGGAGGAGGTAAAGTTCTCCTCATTTTTGGGACCAAACTGTCTCCTCTGGTCTGCCATCCCACCCCAGGGGAGCTAAGGGGAATGCCGTGTTTGAGCTGTAAGCTGGGGCCGGGCCCCTACCCCTACCCAGAAGGGGGCATGGTGTCCAATGTGAAAAAATGTAAAACTTTTTTTAAAAACAAAACAAAAAAAAAAACTGCACTTACATGGTAACCCATGAACTTGGGGTTTCGTGGGGGAAACTCAAGTGCTTCACCTGAGAATTCTTTCTCAGACAGCTGACTCTTTCCTGTAAAACAGTACTTTAAAAAAGGGTTAGGAAGAAAAATATTCACAATCTAAGATCGTTTTTGTTTTTTAATAAAAATTATTTAAAAATACACTGTTTAAACATCATATTTAATTCTTCCAGAATTTAATACAGTTTTGTTGACTTTGTGCATAATATTTCACTACAGTACTTTTTTTAACAAACCGGCCAATCCTCCTGGGCGGGCGCAAAAAAAGAAAAAAAAAAATTTTTATTGAATTTATAATACAGTATAGCAAGAAGGGGTTTTTACAGTACAACTATATGTACCCTTTTAATTTAACATTTTGGGAAATACAGAAAAAAATTGCTGGGTCAGTTGATTTAGTTTCAATGGAGAGAGGCTGGTTAAAGAATGATAGCAAAAATAAATTGTATCTATTTAAAGGTACCAAACATCATCACTTTCCCCCACCATACCCCCTTATTTGGGTTTTAAATACTGAAAAAAATTTTTTCTGTCTTTAGCTGTCTTTTCAGTTTTTTAGCTGGCAATATTATACCTCAAACTTTTTTTGAAACTAATACAATATGAAAAGGTGGCTAAAGCTCCCGTTTCACACACAGGGGGGCCCCGGGGGTTCGTTCCGCAGGAAAAAAATTTTCACACGTTCCTTAACCGTTGTCCGTTCCTACAGCAAATAGGTCCTGGGTGTTTAGTCATGGTGTGGGTTGCATCGGGGGAAAAATTTGGGGACCACAAGGAAAAAATTTGACAGCCCCCTCGATGAGCATTTATTTTCTAGGGTTACCCTGGGTGGCAACCCCCCGGGGTTAAAATACGACGAAATCTTATTTATCTTTTAAATTGCAACAAAGCAACCTATTTCAGCAGAAATCCTTCATTTTTTTTAAGAAAAATACACTACTTTTTCAAGTTTAAAAAAAAGGGCTATTTTTTCCCCAAACTAATCATGCAGGAGGGTTTTTTTCTTGTCATACTAATCACACGGGAGGGTTTTCAAAAAAATTAAAAAAAACCTGTACTATGACCATAATTTTTTTAAGGGGGTAACCAAAGCCAGGGGAAGGCCTGGCAAATGACCAAAAGGCCCCAAGGGCGGGTCATCAACTAAGACACGCGTCAGTAAACACTTTCCGTTTCCTGACAAACCTTACCTAGCCTAACCCAAAAAACCGTCAGTTTAGAAAAAGGAAAACCTTCAGTAGAACTATGGGGAAAAGCTCTCACGCATTTCCATTATGAGTTCAATAATTATGTGAGCTTAAAACATTTCCTTCCAACAGGGTTGAAGTTACTTTTATATGGGATTATCATGTTAGATGACTTAACACACAAATTTAGGGAAAAGATTGATGAAATAATTTGCACACACACACACAGGACCAGGAGCTATGACTCGACCCCTGCAACCACAATTAAATGAGTACACAAAAGTCCTATTCTTAAATTCAATCCATTCATTCTGGGCCAAAATTATTTTTTTCCTCCAGAAAATCCTCCTCTCTTCCTCTATCTCTTACCGTTTACCTGGAGAGAATTCCGGGGTTCAACGCCCCAGCGGCCCGGTCTGTGACCAGGCCTCATGGTGGGTCAGGGCCTGATCAACCAGGCTGTTACTGCTGGCTAGTAATGACCCTCGTATTGTAGATAGTCTTAATGACCCTCGTGTAGTAGATAGTCTTTTTAGTATGATAATAAGATGTTATCGTCATTATAGAATAATAAGAAAATATTATAACCTTTATATTATAATAATAAGGTAAAAGGACACCAATGGAAATAAGTCACTGACTTTTTTGGGTTATCCCAGGTTCTCTACACATATGCTGCTATGTATGATAAATATATGTAACTGTATTTCTTTATACCTGAAAAAACTTACTTATTTAAGAAATATGGTAAGAATTATAAAAAAACAAGAGCACTGGAAATTCTTACTCATTAAGACAGGATTAAAATATTAATAGGTCACATAGTACCTAAGGAAAATGAGATTGATTAGAACAAGAGGGCAGTTTTAAACTGCTAGGAAGTAAACAACAACATTTATAGCACAGTAATATACCTCAAGTGAGCATAATATTACTATACATTATTTCTTCACAAAGAAAGGTTGATATGTAAAATGTGCTACATGAGAAGGTAGTGTATAAACATACTGCAAACATTTAAGTTTTTATAACAATTATATAAAATAGGACACCATAAGCACATAATGAGCATAAAATAATCAAACCTTTTAATTCAGTAATTACTGAGCGAAGGCCAACAAGAAGAGATCTTGCTCCTGCTACAGCACTAGCTAATTCTGTTTTGCGGTGGCACATGCCTTCCATGAAGCTATCAATGCCATCGATCTACAATAGATATGATTAAATAAACATCAGATTTATAAGAAAGTACCATGGTCTAATTTCAATTTTTAAGTACATTATTCTGGTTATTAAAACTACATAACCTAGTCACATGTGAACACATACTGGCAGGTTCCGCTGCCGTTCTCAATTATACCCATTCTTCATTTATTCAGACTTTCTACTATCAATATTTTCACTATTCATCTTAACCTAATACCTGGAGGATGTTCCGGAGTTCAACGCTACTGCGGCATGGTCCATGACTAGGACTCGCGGTGGATCAGGGCCTGATCAACCAGGCTGTTACTGCCAGCCACATGCAAACCGACGTACGAACCACAGCCTGTCTGGTGAGGTACTGACTTCAGGTGTCTGTCCAGCTCCCTCTTGAAGACAGCCAGGGGTCAACTGGTAATTCCCCTTATGTATGCCGGGTGGCAGTTGAACAGTCTTGGGCCCGAAATGCTGAGGCATTTTAGGGGTTTTCTTTGTACTTAACAATATTTTATAACATGTAAATCACACATTGTATATCACGCAAAGAAATAATTTAATTTAGCGTACTAGTGGCGCCCCTGCTCTTCATTTGGGGGATGTTGCAATGGCTACTAATGTCAGCATAAGATCTTCCTGGAGCAGGAATCGAATCACCGGAACACAAGGGATCGGCTCTTTCTTACTGGAGGAATGAACAAACTCGGTGGAGTGGATGACTCTCCCCGGTCTTGCTTTCGCAAGGAGTAACTTGCGTGTGCAGATTTGGGACTAGTACTTCAAAGATTTTCCAAGTGTATATTATCATGTGTACATTATCCGTGGAGTACAGGTCAAGGAACTTCAACCATTCCCAGTAACTTAAGTGCTTTATTGTACTTATACGTTCAGTAAAAGGTCTCTATATTCTCCAGGTCTTCAATTTCGCCCGTCTTGAAAGGGGCCGTTAGTGTAGCAATATTCCAGCCTAGAGAGAACAAGCGATTTGAAGAGGATCATTTGCTTGGCGTCCCTAGTTTTGAAGGTTCTCATTATCCATCCTATCATTTTCCTAGCAGATGTGGTAGAGACATTGTGATTTTTTTGAAAGTGAGATCCTCTGACATTATCATTCCCAGGTCCTTCACATTAGTTTTTCACTCTACAGTGTGGCTGGAATTTGTGTGTGCTGCATATGCATTTTTGTAGACCTAGCTTAATTTCTCACTTAATATCTAATAGTGTAAACATCAGGCTTTTAAATGCATTTAAAATTTAAAAAAAAAGGGGGGGGGGCAATGATTCAGTGTACAGCAATTTTAGGTCAACAGCAGTAGCCTGGAATCAAGGCTGCTGTGTGAGTGGGGAACTTATAAGTGAAGCACAACATATATAATTATAAACGAAAATGTGAAGACTAATGTCAATTAAGAATAGTATATTATAATTAGCAAACGAACAGTAAAATGCAGGAAATGGAAAATGAAATAGAAAGAATCATATTTTAATATATTTTCTGTATTTTATGTTATTAGTACGGTATTATATTCACAAAAAGTACTAAACCTGTATGAGTTATACAACGCTGCTGTATGTGTTAAAAAACTGCAAGAATGGTCATCCCCGCAGTTACAGGTCTCCAAACTGGAAACAGTTTTATAGGAGTAAGAATCACCAAGAAACACACAAGTACAGCTAAGTACTGTACAGTATATACTAAACAGGGGTGCACCTAGGTATGCGTGGGTATCACCTATTTTTATTGTATTGGGGAAAAAGTGGTCAATGCCAGCCGATACTTTAAAAAATTAATCATTGCACACTTGTTTACATGTAGTAAAATTAATACCTCATGATTGTGAGGGTTACACACACACACACTTGGGACCAGGATCGGTGACTACCCCTGCAACCACAAATAGGTAAGTACGTACGTATGTACACACACAAAACACTTTATAACAGTACATACACTTCAACTGGTTATCCATTATGGTATTCAGGGGGATAATGTAATAACAGACATCATTAATAGTGTGTGCCGGGTCACCTCATGAACAAGACCTGGGTCGGGACTACTACGGCACATAAGCCACTTCAGTTACTCTCCAATAGCCTTTTGGGGTCTATTTCCTAGGCCTATTGTGTACCCATATGCCCTTGAGCTACCGTCCACAGGATGTATATGGGGTGCACAATAAACTAGCCACTTTGGTGGCAAAAATTCTATAGCGTGGTGTAAACTAGAGGCTCATCAAGAACAAACTGTACCACTAAAGTACAAGCTCGTTCAGTGTACTTACCCACTGAAAGAGTACTTATTTAACTCGTTCAGTCTCGTACATACATCTATGTTATTGATAGCAGGGTAGATCTATGTTCTGAGCTCATCTCCCTCAGATAAGTTGTGACCAGTAAATATTGTCCTAGACATGACAGAATGGAAGAATGGGTCCGTGTGGTGAGTGTACAAGGTGTACAAGTAATTTTGCCTCATGAAGTGCATGTGAACAGCAAACCTTTCACCTTGTATTTGGTTTCAAACAGCAAATTTGTGGCGTTTTCTAGTTTTTTTATGGTTTTACTGACTGCTTCTTGGTACCATTTGGTAGAATGGAAGATAATACTGAAATCGAGAATATTTTGGTTGCTTTCAAAACCGGAAGTAGCTTGAAATCGGGCTTAAAATAGCGTAAATATTCGATTTTTGAAAATTTTTCTTGGGACGAGCAAGGCATCTTTGTATCCCTCCCCCGGTCTGATTGATGGGTTTTAACTAGGTCTGATTCAATTATTGGGATGAAATCAGCCATGACCAATCATTCCTGGTAATAGAAATAAGGTAAATCTTCTACTTTTCTCTTTTTTAAATCAGTTCCTGACCAGCCGGGCTGTGGTTCGTACGTCGGTTTACGTGCGGCCAGCGGTAACAGCCTGGTTGATTAGGCCCTGATCCATCACGAGGCCTGATCATGGCCCGGGCCGCGGGGGAGCTGACCCCGGAAACACCCTCCAGGTATGATGAATTAAAAATCCAGAGCAAATGTAATACAGAAGAGGTCTGAGAATGTGAGTAATGAACATATGAAATGTTACTTTAGTAGCGGGAATGCCTAGTGTTTATTTGGAACTCGGTTTTTAAACTCAATTTTTTGTGAGTAAAATTGGGCCAAATTACCGACTTCTGTGCACTTTATATGATAGTTATAGTTGAATGCGCGGTTTCTTGCTTAATCCATAGAAAGATAGTGCGGTAGTTAAAACATTTATTGAACCGAGAAATGGAATGGGCTTAAAACTTGCATTTTTTTAGCACACCTTTCTCCTAGTGGTTGTTTATATCGTGCACTATCCCTTCTAATTTATTAATTTTAACCTCCCTCCTTACTGATAACATTTTACTTGTACCCCATCCATGTTACTTTTACTTTACTTACCACCAAATAATGATCTAAAGTATGTCACTAAAAACATGCACATTCAGGTCTACCAAACAATCTTTTATCTTCCAATACATAGTCTAAAAACTGCTGTCATTACATGATATATCATATTTAGTATACTTGTTTATCTTCTTCCTTAAAATAAGTAATGCCTATTACCAAACCATTTTCTATACATAATTAGAGGCCTCAATTATCACTTATCCCTGGCATTTCAAGCGTATCTACTATGCCATACACAAGTGCTCCAGCATCAGCATTTAGCTCTCCCGCAACAATTTTGACACTTGGTTCGAGACCACCCCAAACATCTCCCAAAATCTATTATCTACACTCCTTTTTCCAGGTACATAAACACTTAATATAAACCACTTCTCACATCCCACCTTTATTCTAATCAACATAATTCTTAAATCTAGTTCTAATTCTCTCTGATACACCCGATTTAACTCCATTTACACCTCCCAGTTGAAAATTTTCCACCCTATAGCCTTATTCTGTTTAATGCTAAGACATCCATCGTCTCTTCGTACCTGCACTACACCCACGTAGATTCACAGCCTAATTTGACTATTTCCGTCTTCGTTTTTTGGTAATTTAGACACAAGGGGGTTTCTAACCCGATGCTCCCAGCATTTTAGTCACCTTTTATGACACGCATGGCTTACAGAGGAAAAATTCTACTCCGCTTACCCATAAAGTTATAAGGAAACACTACAAGGGTAAAAACTAAGAAATCAAAAGAAAACTCATGTGTATACATACATATGCTCAACTGTATGTATGGTATATATGCACTGGGTGTTAGTGGTAATGACAAGATGTACCTGTCATCTTACATAATTAAAAAAAAAGACACCAGCAATTCTACTAGTGTAAAAACCGTTAACAAGTTTCCGTTTCAGTCATTTCGCAAGCTGGAAGTACCTCCCTGGGTGGTTGCTGTCTACCAACCTACTACCACTGGATGGTAGTACCTCCCTGGGTGGTTGCTGTCTACCAACCTACTACCACAGGATGGTAGTACCTCAATGGGTGGTTTCTGTCTACCAACCTACTACCACAGGATGGTAGTACCTCCCTGGGTGGTTGCTGTCTACCAACCTACTACCACAGGATGGTAGTACCTCCCTGGGTGGTTGCTGTCTACCAACCTACGGTACTAGATTTGGACGAAGTTGCCAATTTAAAAGAAAATGAATATGATAACGTATTAGGTGTCACTGTTGTCAGGGGCCCGAGACTGTTCAACTGCCTCCCAGCATACATAAGGGGGATTACCAATAGACCCCTGGCAGTCTTCAAGCTGGCACTGGACAAGCACCTAAAGTCGGTACCTGACCAGCCGGGCTGTGACTCGTACGTTGGTTTTGTGTGCAGCCAAAACAGAAACAGCCTGGGTGATCAGGCTCTGATCCACCAGGAGGCCTGGTCACAGACCGGGCCGCGGGGGCGTTGACCCCCGGAACTCTCTCCAGGTAAACTCCACGTTGCTCTTGGCTGATAACCCAATGTTTTTAGAAATTTAAAACAGAAACCGGTGTGTGGACGTCAAATTAGATTTTGCCACCGAAGTAGCTAGTT